ATATATCCTTCCCACAACGAATGTATCCAGTATGTGTCACAAACATGTACTAATAAAATTTGTTTAAAAATAAAATTTTAAAACATGAAGACTGAAAGTCTTTCACAGACATGACTGATCTTTGAGGGAGGCAATTTAAAGGATTCTATGTAAAGAGCAGATCTTCTCGGTCTTTGGCTAATATCAGCTGCACTGTCTATGTAAAGAAAGGGGAAACCAGGTTTGGGGATCGACTTACCCACTCCACTCATCTCCACCAGAATCCCCATCTCTTCAGATGCTCAGGTTGCTGTGGAAATGCAATCCATGAGATTCATTTTAGGATCAGAGAGATGCAGTCCAAATCCCAGCCTCTTATGAGCCATGTGATCACTTGCCTTCTCTATAGAGTGATTTCTCATGTCATTCTAGGTATCTTTTGCTTGAGACTCTGTCTCACTATGTACTTTAGGCAGGGCTTGAACTCGCTGTGCTGCCTCTTATGAGCCATGTGATCACTTGCCTTCTCTATAGAGTGATTTCTCATGTCATTCTAGGTTATCTTTTGCTTGAGACCCTGTCTCACTATGTACTTTAGGCAGGGCTTGAACTCGCTGTGTAGCTCAGGCTTGAACTGGCAGTGATTCTCCTGCTTCTCAGCCTCCTGAGTGCTGGGATCACTGAAATGTACCACTCCTGGCTCTACAAGGCTTATAAAGGTTTTTACTCTGGACTACAGCAAAGATGGTTGAACAGCAAACATCCTTGGATAACAGATAGTGTCTCCTCCCAGGTCAGAGGGAATACCAGGATAATTAGATAATACCTTCCTCTGGGGCAAAGGTTGAATAGTTTTGCTAATAGTACCATTCAAAAATTAGGGTTTACTAAGTAAGCATGGGGTCTCTTAGCTGTGACACAAACCCTTTGGATGTATCACATCTACCTGGTACCACCTCTCCACAGCCCATAAGACTTGTGGACCAAGGAAGCCAACAAAAGCATGAGTCTCCTGCTGCCTCTGTACTGGGAATAACAAAGTCTTTTGTTTCTGACCTAGGAGTCTCATGTCTTCTGCCATCATGTGGCAAGCTAACTTGTTAGTAGCTAAGTGGGTAAAATTCTGAAGCCTTCATAGTTTTCTTTTCTTTCTTTCTTTTTTTTGAGACAAGGGTCTCACTATGTAGTTGAAACTGACCTGGAGCTCACTATGTAACCCAGGCTGGTCTCAAACTCACAGTGATCCTCCTGCCTCAGCCTCCTGAGTGCTGGGATTACAGGATGCACCACCACGCCCAGCTATTCTTTATTTGGGGGGCCTTCATAGTTCTTAAATCAACTCCCATATGTCAAAAGGATCAGTAACGCTTATTTTCTCAGTTCCCAACGCACCTCACCCTTCTGCACTTTGACATCTGCTCCCAGTGTAACGCAGCTGATTTTGCCAATGTTACCAGACTGATAAGTGCTAGTTTTGATGGGTATTTGACTCGAGGAGAAATCCAGCAGGATCTCTGTACTCTGTAGCAGTGAGGGCTTATTCTCCTGATGTGCTCTGCTGGTGGTTTACACAGGACCACATTTTCCTGCCTCTTTTTATTGGTCTTCTCCATGCACCTCCTTTTCCCTTAACCACATCAATGTCTGGCCAGCCTCTCCTACCGTTCCACCTTCTGTCCCTGGGTGATCCTCATATCGGTTTTAGGAACTTTGTATATACTTCCAACCCCCTAAGTGAGGAGAAATCCAGCAGGATCTCTGTACACTGTAGCAGTGAGGGCTTATTCTCCTGATGTGCTCTGCTGGTGGTTTACACAGGACCACATTTTCCTGCCTCTTTTTATTGGTCTTCTCCATGCACCTCCTTTTCCCTTAACCACATCAATGTCTGGCCAGCCTCTCCTACCGTTCCACCTTCTGTCCCTGGGTGATCCTCACATCGGTTTTAGGAACTTTGTATATACTTCCAACCCCCTAAATTATAACCCCAGTCCAGCTGCTGAGCAATTCCACGCCACACTCAAGTGGTACAAAAGGGCAGCTGTCCTACCCTGACCTCCACATCAGCCAATGTTCCCTGCTGGGTCCCTCTCTATTGTGGTACATGCAGTCACCTCACTGATGCTCAGCTGTTTCCTGTCTTCGTGCCCACATGCAAGATGTCTGTGAGTGTTGCTTCTTTCATGCGCCCCTCCCATTGTGCCCATTCCTCCTACCACTCCCTCTCTAGTCCCAACCCTCCCTGTCTCAAGTAACTGCAGTATCTAGACAACCCAGCTTCTTGCCTCCTCTTGGCCCCTACCCACCCTGTTGCTAGTTACGTTCCTAAAATATAAATCAAATCGTGTCATCTCCTTGCTTAGGTTAAACCCTTCATTCTCTCTTCACAGCCTACCCAACAATGTCCAAGTTCTTGAACAATAATATCGTTCACGCTTTCTAAACGTTACATCCTCACCCCACTCATATGGCCACTGACACTCAAAATGGAAGAGTTTCGGAGGCGGAATCACAAAATAACACTGACTAAACGGCACTAAGTGGCTTTAATGTTATTGGCAACTATTAAGTCATAAAATGTTGCACTAATTTGTCACCTATGTCCTGTCTGCCTCAAACCCATGTGAGCATTCTTAGTTTTTCTTAAAAATAAAATCACAATTTGGATCAGGTGCTGTATTTCTAATGGTTTGCTATTGAGTTTGTTTGTTTTTCAGGATCCCCTTGAGAACAAGCTGAGCGATTCCTCCATTCTACTGAAGATGTTCAAGGACCAGGTTTCTTCGTGATAGATCTATACCCACCCCCCCTCTGGTATACTGTATGTGTGCATATATATATATATTATAAACATGCTATATAGAGATGCTGTATGTTTAATTTCTCCTTCGTCCTCTAAGCAAACAAACCAACACTCTCAAGTGTCCGCCAGGAGGCGCTGGGGGCAGCGAGAGACCGGCAGTACCCTCACCGCGGTGGAGATGGAGAAGGATGCAGCAGAGACGGAACCGGGCTTCCTTTTTTACGAATCAATGTGAGCGAAGGGAGCAAGGTCGCATTATTTTAGGGAGACTTTGTCGCATTCCCCCTCCTGCGTGTAGGCAGCTTCTGGGGTGCTCGAGCCCCGCTCGCGGACCCCATGGAGAGAGGCTGGCGGCGGCAGCAGGGGCTCCTTTCTCCGCAGCAGTCGGCAGTAACCCGACCCCGCCGGCGCAGGAACTGAAGAGGGGCCGGGAGAGCAGCAAGCTGCAAACAAAAGCCTTAGGCGTGTGGCTGGAGCCCGGACGGAGGGTGAGTGAAGCCGCCTGAGGACCAGCGGCCGTGGGCGCTGCCGTTCCAGGAGCACATCCTGCTGAAATGCCGTGGGGGAACTTCTGGGCACCTGGGGCGGGTGTCCGAGCCCAGACCCGGGGGTGGCATCTTTAGTACATTCCGACTTGGAGGCAATCGGGTGCATCTGGGAGGATCCCGACGTCTTCTGCATCACCCCCCCCCGCAAATACTCGGGGCAGGGGGGGTGAGGTGGGGTGGGAGTGGAGGAGGCGGGCAGAGCTCCTAACAAGCCCTGCCCGAGAGGCAGGAACAAGAATCCATCACCCCTCCTAAAAGGGCCTTTGGGGATTTCTCTCCGCCCTACCATCACCGGCACCCGGGTATCCTTTGGCAGTGGGAAATCAACCATAAACTTCGTTCCTAGGCATATGGGATCCCCCACAGCAATCCACTTTAGGATGAACAGCCCCCCTACCCTCTTTTTTGTTCCTGCAAAGCCGAAGCCCGGCAGCCCGCCTCAGCTACAAACAAAATAGGCTAATCCGCCAGGGAATCCGCTAGCGCCTCCCTCGCTGGCTGCTGCCTGCTTGCATCTTGATTTTTTTTAACTTGCAGCAAGCAGGGGGTGCATCTAGCGGGCCAGACGCCAGGAGACCCTCACCACAGGCCCCACGTTCCGGGGCTGAGAGAGATTGAAGCTGTTCTTTTTTAGCACCAGCATGCTCCCTTCAACCCGCCGCCCTGACTGGGTTTTCGTGGCAAAGGTTTTATGGTTTACGTTCTACCAGGCCTAATCCGAAAGCGGACTGAATGGGGTGGGGGTATGGACAAGGCGGGGGGAACATCTCTCAAATGCATTCTCCTACATCCCTCCTTATCGTCCCCAGAGGCTCCAACAAAGGATAAGGCTCAGCCATGGTGGACCCAGTGCCCGAAGAGGAGAAAGAAGCAGCCGAGGTGGGCGGCTCAGGAGGGGATGGGGCCACGGCGTCCGTGCCCCCCGACGCCCAGGGCGCTCAGCAGCCCGCAGCCTCCTCAGCCTCGGCGAAGCCCCGCA